TGCATTGTTACACTGACTGCGATAGGATCATAAAATAAAACTTTGGGTTTCGCCATCACACAATTTAAATTTTAATCAAATCATCTTTTATTGCTTTGTACCAATCCAATAATATTTTGAGATTATCAATACGGTTTCAAAGCTACTGTCCCAAATTTCTAAAAAAAATAATAATCGTTTGATTTGATTTACCGACTAGAGCCTTAAGATAGTAACTATCGAGGCTACTGGCCTAGAAACCAGGCCCGGTATTCTGCAAACGATCCTAACGCTAGGATGTCCTAGAATCAATGTTAGAAGATAAGAACTTACGATATCCTAGCGCTAAGATCTTTTCGAGAATACGGGGCCAGTGTTGTAAATAATGACCCTGGATTTTATTCTAGACCAATAAGTTCATTGTTTACTAATGTTTGAAATTTTTTCATAAAATCAAAATAAACTTCGTTCAAAGAATGTGTTCAGTTTTTGAGAAAATAATATGGCGGAATATAAACATTCACAACGTTCAGACATTTTTTTTTAAATATAATAGTGTGTAATGAAGTTGTACGATCTCTTTTTCTGCTCCAGTTTCGGTAAATAAAAACGAGTAAAATTGTTGACATTGTGCTGATAGGAAAATGTTTCCACATCAGTTATATAAATTTGTTCGTTTTCGAATCTAAGTTTGAAGAGCTATCGGAAAATCTAAAAGTAATACCAAAAGAAACATATCATTGTGGTCTGAAGCAGAACTTTATAGTTACCTACCTTTAGTAACAAACATCCTCCAAACCTTTTTGAAATTTACCGAGTAGAGCGACTGTGTTCTGTAGTCTATGACATTTATTTAATAGAGTAATCTCCCATTAACCAATCATGTAGAGTGTGACGTCGTCGCACTTCTGAAACACACTGCTCAAACAGGATGACAACCGATATTTAAATATAAGATATTTTTGACAAAATTGCTGTTAATTTACTTTTCATATATATCTCTTTTATATCTATATATACATAAGTCCCGTGCTCATACTGATGTGAAATAATTGATAGGCTATCGTGGTCTTTTCAATCCAATGTCCACCTGTAAGCCGAAAAGCGTTTAGGCCCTAACAGTAAACCAGCTGAGCTTTACGGATCCATCAATAGATGGATTAATGCTGCTTAATACTTCCTATATTCATTGCTAGCACCACCCGCTACCATTACAGTACAGCCAGATACCAAAATTTCAATTCTTTTCACTTCTCGCGACCATTCTATATCAACAAAAATATTGATATCGCAGTTCACTAAATTGGAAAACGAAAACAAGTTAACTTAAAATATTTTTGTTTCTAATAGCGAACAAATTATAGATTAATATTTTGATAGTTGTTATGGATTTGTGATTGGTTGATATAACCAATTTAATGAGAATGGGCGAATACTAGTGACCATCAAAATTTCGATTCTAATAATTTGCATAAATGTAAAATGAGATTGCGCCAAGCTTGCTAACTGTACATAATAAAGTACGGAGTTAAATATATATGTATTTGGTTCACCTAGGCCAGTTGAAGGAGTGTTGAAGCCACGTCGAATAGATGCATCCAGTACATGAAGTTTTAATTAACCTTCTTGATCCAGCATAACATCGATAATGCACAGTAACCAACTGACCCCAAGGTTATTGTCATCAAAATGATTTATAAGATATTAATTCATCTACCTCAAGAGATTTCTGATTTTCTGGGTATAATTTGTTAAGAATACATTCAAGCAGTAAATATGTCCGCGATACACATGCTAGGCTTGAAAACTATCTTGCAGTCCCTTTAAGCTAGAAATATGAAGCTAGAAACCAATTTCTGAGTTATAATGAGAAACTATTGATTTGGGTTTGAATTGAGTTAGAAATATAAACTAGGTGGTGATTTTTAATTATAATCTCATCGTTTCAACACCAGTTTTATTTTCTAGCCTCGACAAACAATATTTCAATTCATATAGTGTAATATTTGTATGCAGTAATAGAGAGAGTCAATGGAATAACACCCTATCAAAGACATCACGCTTATCTCTCAGTTTATTTTCAATAGAAAAGACAACAAACATTGAATACTATAAAAGTTATGTTTGGTTTTTCAATGTGAAATTAAATCATGACCGACTCCAGAACACATCAACGGAATTAAGAACTTTTTGATGAGTTTGAAGCGAAATTCTATAGCGGATTATCCATTAAATTCTGCTCGGCATTCTCCCTGAATGAGTTTACTTTAGTAATCATCGCCCTCTTGGGACCGTGCTATTCTTTACAGACGATCCGTAATTCCATAGTTAGTCCGTCAACATATTTACATTGCTTATTAATAACGAGTCGATCCGTACAAAACTGAAAACGCGCTAATATTTGCTTAGAAAATGGAGTCAAACTAAAACCGTTTTGAAAAGAAAACTAGAAAATGTGTGACTTTGTGTGAAACTTAAACCAACTTGATCTTTAAAACCTTTATGGACTGACGGTTTAGAAAGACCCGTCCAAATTGGAAAGTTAAATCGGCTGAAATACTCAAACAAAAGCTGTAGTTTTTGACGAATTTCTAAGCCATAGCATGTTTGTTCTGCAAGACCTAAACTTGGAGAAATCGATCATGTTTCTCAGAACAAAAGAACTGAGGATTTTAGATTCCTGGAGTCAAAGAGATCCTCTTTCAGTTTCCAGAAGAAAGTAAACTGTCAAGTCACTTTTTTTGCCAATGAAAATATTTTTCCATAGTGAAAAAGAAACTGGAGTTCTATCGTGGCCAAGTTTTTTGTTGCTTTGAGGAGTTCATTTCCATGGTTTTGTTTATAAATCTCTGACTCCAAAATACCTCAGTCGATTTTGGTTAGCTTTGAATTTAGCAATATATCTGTGTCAAATTGTCCACTTCTGATGCATTGTGGAATTCCATTTTTATGTATTTTCGGGTGCATTGATAATAAACTTTTAGCTGGAGGTTTTTGGGTGACATGGAAAGATGTTTTGTGTCAGGTGGAGCAATTACTAACAAGTCTTATGCTTTTACGCTAACCAAAAGATCTCATTGCACACTGTATGACGTTGTCTGTCTTCTTTTGTTCAACCAAGTGCTGAATGAAAAGCGTTAAAATCCATTTTCGTTCTAAGAAAAAATTGAATGTAAATGATTTTTTTTTCTCCATAGCCAATGTACGAGTTGCTGTATGAATACATCCCCTCCCCTCCATGTTACCATCTTTGCAATATTTCTCTCATTGCACACTGCTTGGCGATTCCAGCTCCATAACTCAATAAGCTGCGTGTAGTTTGTGTAAAAATCTAATTGTTTTCAGTTCCAACATCCAAGGATGCCCACGCCGATTGCTAGTATCTAGATGTTTGCGAAAATGAAAAAAAGTATTATGCAGATTTGAGTTTTTATTCAACAAAAATGAGGAGATGAATAAAGGAATAAATAAAATGTATAATTCTATGGACACGTTGTGGTACAGTATTAATAAATCTGAAATATTTACAATTAGAACATGGGGGAACACTGAACATTATTCTGAGCATCGGCGACAATCTGACGCCATCTTGGATTTCTGTACATTATTTAACACATCAAGGGCAGGCAATATGACTCCATCTTGGATATCAGAACATAACGACGTCATCTTGGATTTCAAAACATTACGACGTCATCTTGGATTTCAATAAATTAAAATTATGACGCCATCTTGGATTTCGAATACATTTTTTTGAAAGCTGAGGTCTTTTTTTTTTTATTTTATCACATTGTTTATAGCAATGGTACAAGATGATGCCATCTTGGATTTTAGAACATTATTTAAAACATTGCTGCAATTTGACGCCATCTTGAATTTCAGTTCATTTTTCGAGGCTTCTTCAATGGCTTGAACTTATTATTACGATAATCAAAAGAGTCAAGATGGCAGCCATATTGAAATAAACCCCACAACAAACCATCTATAACAAATTACAACAAAATAAATAATGCTGTGTCTCTGTTTATAATTTTACACTAAAAACATAAAACAACAAAATCCATGGATTTGCGAGAACACTACATAAAATTACCCCATTGAAATACTGGATTTCAAATACGCTGCGACTACAAGAAAATCTGTAGTCTTGAACACCCCAGATACATATTATTTGAACACTTTGGCGCAAATTGTGGTTTCTTGAGCACTCTTTTGACAATCATAACATAATTTTGTCCGACAACGATACCATTTCTGGAATATCTAAATGGATAATTTAGTCTTTTCCTGACAACTGTCTTCTGTATGGATATCAGCACTTTTAGTCTCGAACACAATTCTTTATTCTTTATCGCAAGATTCCGCCTGACTCCTTTCCAAACCCGAAGAATAATCTGGATTTCATTTCTCTCGAGAT